GAGGATTATGCTCAAGAATTCATTGATTCCAATGAAGAATCAAGAATTCCAATTAAAAAGAGCTTTGAGTGAGTTTTGGAAATGGAGAAGTTGAGAGAATTTGAGAGAGAATTCTGATCAATTCTGAAAAATGAATGTGAGAAATGAAAATTGGATGGTGAAGTTTGGAGTAGATCACTTAAATATGATCTAGGTTTGGATCCCAAAGCAAGGATTGGAATTTGGGTTGGAAATCAAGGCTTGGAATGTGGAATGGGATTTTGGAGGGAAATTTGAAATTTGAAGATGTTCTAGATCCTTTCCAAGTGTGAAAATGCAATTTAAATGATCAAAATTTGGACCCCAAAGTGGCTTGGCTTGAAAATTCACGTACAGAGGCAAAAATTGCACTAGTTAACCGGTTAACAGTATGTGTTAACCGGTTAACAATGTTGAGAACTACCAATCTGACCTGATTTCACCTCTGTTAACCGGTTAACAGTATGTGTTAACCGGTTAACACCTTTAAAATTTGAATTTGGCACCTTTTGGAGGGAAAACTGCCTGTTTGCCCGTTTCTTGCCGTTTTGAGCTCTGCTTAGCTGCTGAACCTCATTTTTGACCGTTATCACTGTGAAAATACTTGTTATGAGCCTGAGTGCTGATCCTGATCCGAAATTAACCTGCAAAATAAACTCGGTCGCCTGACCGCTAGGCAAAATAAATGCCCGAACCTCTTATGCTTGATGTTCAGTCTCTTACTCCGAAATGAGCCACAGGAACGCCTTGATCCCATGCCTCGAGAACGAATGTTATGCAATGCAAAATGCTAAATGCAAAGAAACAAAAGCCAGCTACGGTAAAAACGAAAGGAAAATTTTGGGGTACTAAACAACCTGAAGGGCATGTCGAAAGGGGGAAGGAAGATTATGTGTGCAAACTGAATAGATCTTTATATGGACTGAAACAATCTCCTCGACAATGGAATAGAAGATTCGACAAGTTCATGGCACACATAAGTTTCATCAGAAGTCAGTTCGACCACTGTGTTTACTTCAGATTTTGACCGGGTAATTCATTTGTTATTTTGTTGCTCTATGCGGATGATATTCTAATAGCAAGCAACAATGTCGAAGAGGTAATGAGGGTGAAGGTTGAATTCAATAAAGAGTTCGACATGAAGGATCTGGGAGCTGCGTCCAGGATTCTTGGGATTTACATACGGAGAGATAGAAAGCAGTCGAAATTATGCTTATCTCAGGAAGCATACCTACAGAAGATTCTCGAAAAGTTTGGTATGTCGAATTCAAAGCCTGTTATGACCCTAATAAACCCTCAATTCAAGATGAGTATAGATTAGTGTCCCAGCACTGATGTTGAAAGAACTTATATGAATAGCATTCCATATGCTAACATAGTAGGTTCTTTGATGTATGTTATGGTCTGTACTAGACCCAACATAACATATGCAGTAAGTCTTGTAAGTAGGTACATGAATCCTGGAAAGGCTCACTGGCAAGCATTGAAGTGGATTTTAAGGTACATAAATGGGTCTCTGAATAGAGTCCTAATTTATGGTGGAGTCTTGGGTGAAGATATTAAAGCAGCAATCGGATATGTCGACTTTGATTATGCAGATTGTATGGATTCCAGAAAATCTATCTCTGGATATGTGTTCGCTATGTTTGGGACAGCAATCAGTTGGAAAGCAACACTTCAGAAGGTCGTTGCCTTATCAACTACTGAAGCGGAGTATATTTCTCTAACTGAAGTTGTGAAGGAAGCATTGTGGCTTGAAGGTTTTTCAAAGGAGCTAAAACTTCAAGGTCGAGTTATCACTGTTAAATGTGATAGTCAAAGTGCAATACACCTGTCGAAGAATTCAACCTATCATGAGCGAACCAAGCACATTGATGTGAGGCTGCATTTCATCAGAGGGGTAATCGAGCATGGAGAAGTCCAAGTGCTGAAGGTTTCGACAGGATCATAATGCTGCTGATATGATCACCAAGACGTTGACCAATTGCAAGTTTTTCCACTGTATGCAGTTAATAAAGCTACATGAAGAAAGTTATTTTCTTGATGTTATAGAGTTAGATCCAAGGTGGAGATTTTTGAGATGTTGGATCGAATTCTAGTATGGTCGAAGTCTGTTCGCGAGTAATGTGTGTTGTAGTCGAAATTTGTTCTAACATGCATTAATCAATATTGCTAGGGTTGTTAGCATGTTGAATTGGGCCTTGCTTGTAAGCCCAACTGTTTAAGTTAGCTTGTACCCTAAGTTAGCTTGTAATGGGTAATTGTTAAAAAGCCCATTAGGTTAGTGCGCTATTTTTCTTATAAATAAGATATTAGTTTCTCAATCTTAAAAATAAGAAAAAATAGGAAGATAAAATCCTAATTTCAAGAGAGTTTATTTTGTTATTCTTGTATACTTGTAATCTTGTTCTAAGAGAAAGGAAAGAATAGCAGTTTAATAACCAATCCTTATTGTTTTCTTCTTTATTAACCCTAACCTTTGTGTGTTTCTTGATCATTAAGAAACTGTTTATACTTAGTTTTAAGGTATCTGATTCACAACATCATCAAAATGGGGAGATTGTGATGAATACATCTTATATTTAGTTCAATTTTGATGAAGACAAAGGTTATCAAAGAAGAAAAGGTTCAAAAGTGTCATGCACATCAATGGTGAAGTTGATCAAGAAAGTTTAACATATAAATTCAAGTGAAGATTTGAGACAAGTGAAAATAAATAAGGTGCTCATTGTAATTTATATTATATTACTTTAAATTTCTCATAATTTCATTGCTCACTTCACTTCATCTAAAACCTTCTTGTATCATCATGCATGATTATCTAAAAACATTCTTCATTTGATTCTTGTTACAAGTGTTTGTACACAAAGTTGTGTGAGAATATTGTGATATTCATTCGTCTCCATGTTGATTATATGATTGATCATTAGCAACGAGATGAACAGAATTTTAGAAACAGAGAGGTTTCTAACTTCCACATTCAAGATGAATGATCTTGGACTAGTTGACACACTTTCGGGGATCAATGTAAAACAAAATAGTGGGAGTTATGAACTTAGTCAAACACACTATGTTGAAAAAGTGATTGATAAGTATAAACACTTATGCTTTAAGAAAGTGACCACTTCTAATGTCAAACTTCAAAAGGATGATGGATGAGTTGTGGCTCAATTCGAATATGCAAGTGCATGCAATGTACTAGACTCGACATAGCATTTGCAATTAGTAAAATGAGTAGATTTTACTAGTAATCCAAATGATGAGCACTAGAAGACCATCATTAGAAAATTTCGTATATCTTATAAAAATACGAGTTGGATATTGAGTATTAAATATCAAAAATATGCATTTGGTGGGATATTTACACTAGCAAATGGTGAAATTTCTTGGAAGAGAAAGAAACAAATGTGGACCACTCTCTCAACCATACCATCGGAGTTCGAGGCTCTTGCTTTCGCTTATGAAGAAGTTGAATGGTTGAGGGACCTTCTGTTGTAAGTTCCACTAACTAAAGATAATGTTTCAAAGATGTTGATACATTGTAGTAGTCAAACCACTTTAACTAGAGCATACAAAAACTGTATAACAGAAAGTCTAGGCAAGTAGGTATTAGACATTCTTTCGTGACAAAAATTGATTAAGAATGTAATCATTCACACATATACGATCGAGCCATAATTTTCTTGATCCATTTACTAAGCCACTGGCCATAGACTTAGTAAAAACAACCTCGAGAGGTATGGGGTTGAAACTCCTTGAGTAAGAGTTCCGATAGCGGCGGCAACCCAATCTTACATTAGTAGAACATTAACTTTAAAATTCAATGGATAACAACAAGTCGTTGATTTGGATGTTTGTCGAACATTTCGTGATAATGTTGACCTTTAAAATGAGGGTTGTGTTTCTTTTTAACTCTTAATGAAGTTCAATACTGAGGGTATGTGTTTCTTTTGATTTCGAAAAGAAACAAAATATTTCATGAAGAGTTGCTACATAATGAACATAGGCAATAGTTGAAAACATGACAACTTTTGCTTAAAAAGTGTTGTTTCATCAAGGGTCGCAACCTTGTGAAACAACACATATATGGCCTATAAATACATCATTCTGGAATCCAGAAAATAGATTACAAATCAAATATTTTCTTGTACAAAATTCTAGACAACCTTTGTTACATAATCGAGTTTTCATTGGTCATGTGCAAATTCGATATAAGGCTGAATTATCTGGGTATTCCTGCGTTTCAACTCTAAGACATATTTCAGAGTGTTTAAAATACTTTTAAGAAAGTGATTTCGTTCACAATTCTAACCTCGATCTATTCTATTTAAATTAAATTTCTAACATGGTAATGTTATGTATACCATCTTTATAAAAAGAAGGAAGGTTCGAATAAATTTTTTTGAAGTTTCAATCCCCATTGCCTACCCGGTCACATATATGAAGGTCAGTGTCACTAATGTCGACATAGAGCACAACATTGCAAAGATAAACATTATCTATCCATGTAGAATATGAGTGTTAGATAGATATTTATTCTTCACCATCTGAACTCAAAGTTTTGCGGTTGGTGCAAAAATGTCCCAAACATGTTTTCCAAAAAGAGATTATTTCTAGCTCTGTGAATACCTACCCCAATGAAATTTAGGCTTAGTTAAGTTCTTCCCATTAATCCAATAACAAGAATTCCTACCCCACATATAAAGTAGTTATATATGAGAATCAATATCATTTAATATCATATAATATTATTATATGAGTATATTAAAATGTTATTTTAGGTGTGTTTGTGGGCTGCACTCGATCCGGGCATGACGGATATTTCAACAGTATATTCCAAGAGTCTGAGATCCAAATATAACAGTTTGAGTTTCACATTCAAAGTCAAAGTCAAATAGAATAATAACTTGCTTTATATCATCATGTATTTGATTTTAACCTTATCACAACAATCTAAACTATAGAATTATCATATATCAATCATGAGATACACTGTGATAACTGTCCTCTTAACGTTATTCAGTTTAAACAAACTTTGTGAGTCTAACTCATCTTGTAAAGCATGGCTGGTCCAATCCATCCCCACCGATATGCCTCACCTCTCCCACGTTCCCGGAGTCCTCTCCACCGGTACGTTTTTTATTGTTAGTAATTAGTTGTTAGTAACAATAGTTTAGTAAATTTTGTATGACATATTATAGGCGATGTGCTCCGGTGGCTGGCTGCAAACTCGACTCGTAGACTCGACGTAATTGCTCAGTATTGGCAATTACTAGCTTCCCCGAACGATCCTCGCACGGGTGATTACGGTTACACTCGAGAACAGATGCGCGAATTTGGTGCTCATCAAGGTGCTGCAGTTTATCAAGCATTAGATGATGCTGCAGACCGTAATGTTAGTATTAGGTAAGTTTCAATTATGCTTAGTTTAAGTGTTGTTACAGAACTTGAATTGAATAGTGGACACTGAGTACATTAATGTTTCATTTAGGTTACTGTCTCACTCTGGGATATATCCAACATTTAACTTAGAACCTTCCAAACTTGCTTTTGGAAGGCCAAATGTTAAGAATGTGACTTTGCTAATGAAGGATTGGTGGGGCTCTGGCATTGTCCATGCCAAAGTTTGGATATCTGATAATAAGGATGTGTATATTGGATCTGCGAATAATGATTGGAAATCTCTTACGCAGGTGGTTTGATTACACAACATGCTATATGTTTCATTTGTTTTTTGGATTATTTATCTATATGATGTAGTTTATGGACATGTCATAAGTTGTTTTTACAAGTTTATCGGTATAATGTTACTGATTACTTTTTGCTTTAGGTCAAGGAAGTTGGAATTTATCTTGCTGGTTGTCATGGAATAGCTAAAAAGGTTGAGGTTTACTTTAACAATTTATGGAAACTAGCATCTCTGAATTCTTCAGCTTACACAAAAACAGTGATGGATCAACAATGGCAAGTTGAAAGAAAGGTTCCTTGTTGGTCACATTTCATCAAACCTAAAGAGAGATGCAAGTAAGTCTAGGATCCAAGCCTTATATAAAATTTGCTTGGTTTCTCTTCAAGAAATTTCTACTTGTTGAACACCAGACAAATCTTTGATCTAAAGTTACGGTGCTGTGTAACATTTTCGAATTTTTATTTATCATCGTATCTAACTATGTGTCACAGGTCACCTCTGCCTCGATACGTGAAGAGTTGTCATGTATCAGGGTATCCTATTTTGTCTGACCCTTATATGTTTGAAGCCTCAACTCAAACTCCTGGGAGTAATTATTCAACAAAACTTCCCCAAGTTAACTATCTCTCCTTTGCTCCCCCAGAGGTAATGTTTATTATTTGTTAGGTACAATCAAACTTTGTAGAAATTGATATTGGAGAGTTTAAGTTATGAGTTTTCTTGGATCTTGGTATTATTGGTGTTTTGCAGCTATCATTTGGCAGTTATCAGAGTGATGAACAGGCATGGATTGATACAATTAAATCTGTTGGAACAGGAGAGACGGTTAGAATCAATACCATGGATTGGCTAGGTCAATCACAATATACAGACCAAACAATTTTCTGGTCATCGCTATCGTCTGCAATATCAGAGGTAACTAGACTTGTAAAAGTTTTACACTGACATTGCATATGAATTAAATCCAAAACATTTTCTCACGATGTTTCAACCGAACAAACAGGTTGTGTTTTCAAAGAATGCTACGGTAAAGATATTGGTGGCATATTGGGCACACTTCATCAATAGCACAGATGATTACTTGAAGTATCTACACTACACCAACACTCTATGCTCTTCTTCAAAATACAACAAATGTTCTGGTAAAGTTGAGATCAAATATTACGTTGTACCGGGTTTCAACAAGACAGGACCAGCGTTTCAGAATGGAACTAGTACAGGAAACATATACCCTGATTTTACAAGAGTGAATCATGGAAAATATGTAGCTAGCAATGTAAGGGCACACATTGGGACAAGTAACCTTGTATGGGACTATTTCTATACAACAGCAGGTGTTAGCTTCGGGACATACAACACTGCCATTGTATCTCAACTTAAGGAAATTTTTGATGCTGATTGGAACTCTCCCTATGCTGTTCCTATTCCAGAGCTGGAGAGAGAGTCTATATTTCTACTTTCAAATAGATAAAATCTGACAAATGAAAGAAAAAACTGAATAAACCAATGTATCCTTATGAGTTACTATCATATTATATACTTGGAAACTTGTTTACTTATCAAATTTAAAAAATATATTCGATCTGGACATTACCATTTTATATATTGGATCTGGACATTACAATTTATATTTCTTGATATTCTTATGAGGTGAAAATGGTGCTCCAGCTTTTAAAAATTCCACAAATCTAATAAAAATCAAATGATAGTATTGATTTTGTGTAATAAAGAACCTTATCAGAAAGTTATAAAATATGAAAGGATTAAATGGAAAGATAGAGTAAAAAACGTGAGTTAATAAGAATTCATCAAAAATTAATTAAATTCTCAAACATTTTAAAAAAGATAAAGGTGCAGTAAAAATATATCTCAAATAATTTTTGTATTGGATCAAGTTCATTCAGAGTTTTAGGCCGAACCCATACAAAAAATATATCTCAAATAATTTTTGTATTGGATCAAGTTCATTCAGAGTTTTAGGCCGAACCCATACAAAGTTCTCTGAATAAACGGTGGAAATAATCCTCTTAAATTAGTCGGTTGCAAAACCGAATACTGAAGACTCGATAAAAAATTATATGTCAAGCAATTGACTGAAATCTAGCATAGAATTTTTATTTTTCCTTACTTAGCACATTTCGGAGAGTGATTAGCACTCTCAAGTTCAAACATGGGTGAAATTTGGGCAAAAGTTAGAATTCACAATTTAAATTTAAAACAAAAGATAAGAAAAAGAAAGACGATTTGCTTTGGGATGAAAGAAAATGAAGATATTAGGAATTAGATAGCCAAATTGTTTGATCATATAGCCAAATGGAAAGAAAAGTGAATTTCTAACACCAGGAACCGAACAGATATGTACAGCATGTTCAAAAGACTAGTCTAGTCTAGGGAAAGCATTAGATAAGCGACGTGTGGAATAGTAGTTGTCTATCAAACCAAGTTCAAAAGATAGGCAACATGTCTAGCAAAGCTCGGTGTCAAATTTGAGGTTAATGCCCATGCTGAACAGCTCCTGGGACAGTAGCTTTGCTCCATATGGAACACTAGCCACCACAATGTCATCGGCTGATTCACAGAATCGGCAATAGGGACCTCGTATTTTCCGGCCACCAGATACTGGCCGCAAGATCACATTTGCAACGTTTTTGCATTTGCTACAAATGTGTATCTGAGACGAATCACTCAGGGTGAAGAGCCGTTCATACAAGTTGGAGGATGCACCATGGGCAATCAGGCAATCACGCTCCATTTCACCAAACTTAATACCTCCAAATCGCTTCCTGTCAGCAACAGGCTGTCGGGTTAGCGGGTGAACTGGGCCGGTGTTCCTGAATTTTACTTTGTCCTCGGCCATGTGGTGTAGTCGCTGGTAGAATGTTGGGCCCATAAATATTAGTGATTGAACCATCTCACCAGTCCTCCCATTGTATACTCTTTCGTTTCCCCATCTTGAAAAACCAGCTCTGTCAGATACAGAACATAAAATAGGGTTCAGTACAACCGAAAAACATGACAACTTAAAAGTGAAACTTTGGAATGATAAATTTAAAGTGAGCCTGGAGCAAATGCAAGAAAAGGATCTACAACTGGGAAGACATTATTGGTAAGTAAGAAACATCAGTCATACGGTAAGCAAGAGCAAAAATTGAAATACAAGTAAACCTGAACTGTAATTGAAGTAAATTAGGTCGTGATGAAACATTACCTGTGAAGCTGGTCAGTAATGGCTTCAACAGAAGGAGTGGAGAAGGGGGTAGCATTTCTCAATGAACCAACGCATGCGATACCCTTTCCTAAAGCAGACTCTAGGAGTTGCCCAGGAGTTTGCCTTGAGGGAAATGCATGCGGATTTATGACAATATCAGGAACAATACCTTGTTTTGTGAAAGGAAAATTCTCCTGAGACTCCAGAAATCCTAAAACACCCTTTTGTCCATGCATACTAGAGAACTTGTCTCCAAGAACCGGACTTCGAACCTGCAAATATTATTAAATAGCATTTTTTCTGAGTGACGAAAACTTTGCAGTCAAAAAAAGTCAAAAAAAAAAAGAAGATTTCAATTGTGGAACACAAATAAAACATTCATGTTCAGATGACATACAAACTTATTTATTAGCATGTCTATCTCCACCTGCACTTATGCATCCAGTATGTTTGACCAGTGCAGTAACCCTTAAAAATTCATTCACAGGGCAACATGTGTCATCATTAAAGCAGTTTTTGGATTCACATGTACCTGTCTTAACGAAACAGTAGCAAAATTCTTCCCCTCATCATTTGAGGACAACACAACCTTTTGAACATAACCCCTTTCAGTGTGTTTTAACTTTATACTGTGGTCTGTCCCAGAATCAGCACACCGCCCAATAATAATATCACCACTCTGCAAATTCGCACCAACAAATGGAAAACCATCATCGTCAAGGCTATCAACTCGACCAATTTTACTCTGTATCTTTCCAAAATTCACAATGTCTTCAGGTTTCTTTCTCTTTTCTGAAGATTCCTTATTTTCAATCTCAGCTTTGTAACTCCTGATGTGCTCAGATCTGAACATACCACGCTGCAAAGAAGCACGGTTCATCACCAAGGAATCTTCTTGATTATATCCGAGATGTACATTAACTGCTACAATTGCATTCTGCCCATTATAGAATTCAGACTTCGGAAGAACTTTACTTTGACCTAGATATCCAGGTTTTCCAAGACAATCAGATGCCATTGTCCGAAATAGTGGTCTTTGAGGATAGAATAACTGGTGAGACAAAGCATCAACTCTTATATTTGGGTTTGTCGTAGAAAAGCCAATAGCCTGTGAGGAATGTTTCTGGGATTGGTACAACACTCTCCTAGCATGGTCATGATTAGCAAATGGAACCATTGAACAGCTTATACCCAATAAGAACGACATATCAAGCTCACAATGTGTGTACTTCACAGAAGATTTTCCCTCTTTGCCAAATAAATACTGAACACCCCAAGCAGTCTTGAAGTCCTCTTCTTCTTCAGGACCAACCAGCTCAATCACGCCATTATCCAACAGGGACTTGAAGGATTTATGGTCGGACTTAGATTCTTTAATCTTGAGCAGATTACTGACAACCAAGAGTGGACGGAGAATCCTTCCTGCATCAGATAATATGCGCACTTCTTCTTGAATTTGATCTCTTTTGATTTCAACCTAAATAGAAATGGTTAGCACTAGGCTCAATAGAAACAAAATCAGAAATTTATTGCAATTACTACAGAACATTATTTTATATATGAACCAGTGACAAAATTAGGGAAACAGTGATACATTAAACAGCTTAGAAAGTCAACTGAATTGGAACCATAACACAAGAAGAAGAAATGTGAAATAGAGTGGTATTGGAATTTGGAAGCTCCTGACAAAATCAACAGGATCCACTCCATTACTCCAGTGCATGCTCAGTATTAGTAGTGTGTGGGTTGTTTTCAAATTGTGTATGCACTTGTTGCATATTAACCGTGGGAAGCAAAAGTTCAAACTAATAATATAATCATGCTGACCATTTAATCATATGTTACATAAACCAAACTGCAAAATTAATATCCAATAAAGACAGAGTTTCCAGATGTTTAAATACATAACTATGCTATTTGTTAAATTAATGTATCATCTTCTCTGCAAGGTGAAATGCTTTACGTTAAGCTACTAAGCCTCAAATTAATAGCATATGACAACAACCTTTTTCCACCATAAGGGCTCTCTCCATAACTCGAATGAAAAATTACTATAAAATATATATAATTAGAAAAATGTAGATATGCACGAACAACTTAGAATGAGAGAATAAAAGTGAACCTGATGAGGCAATTCATTTCTCCGTCTCCGATTTCGTAGCTCTGACACAAATGATGCAGAATTCAAACAAACTCCAACCCAGTCCCCATTTAGAAAAACTTTATCTTTTTTTCCAAGAACAGTGGTAGTATCATCAACAAGTTCTTCCATCCCACAATCAAACAGATGAGGAAGTATATATTCAGTTACATTGGTACTTACTACTCCTGTGACAGACAAATTTTTTACTAGTCCACAATTTTCACCATCTGGGGTAGAAAGGAAACAAACCTTACCCCAGTGAGAAGGATGCCTGCAACCAAAAACTTCCATTAAAATAAACGAACACGTTTAAATTTTTATAATAAGTAAAGCAATAGTTCGAACATACATAAACAGCATATTTGAACTATAAACTTAACGAGAAATCAAATATTCATTATACTACACACATTGATCACTCAACTAGAGAACAAAGTACACGGCTAAAGCTACTAAGAAAATGCCAGAGACCAGATCAATCCCTGTAGAGGTTGGAAAGTTGATACTAATAAAGTTATACTCATGCCAGTGATGATTAAAGAAGAGATTACAGATTTCAACACGACTTCTTAACCAAGCATTTCAATCAGAACTTACTAATTTTACAGATACATCCCCTCAATGAAGGCATTCTACAGAAGCTGATACTGAAAATGAAATGGAAGAGGCCAAGATAGTCACCAAATAAACATGGCATCTAGTCTACACAGGCAGCACTATAAAGTATTGAATCGATGAACCATGAGTTTCAAAGACCAGACAGTTGGTAGTTTGATTTAGTATTGATTTTCTTGTTGATAACAATATTCCAAGGGGCCTTCACATGTTCGTGTTGCTGACGATTATTAGTTATAAGATTTAGTATAAAGCTGATCTTTCAGTCAGCTAGGATGAAACAAATCCATCGACACAATTCACCCACCTCACAAACTACAGAATGACTAAAATTTATAGACTTTCCCCACCTCACAAACTACAGAAAGACTAAAATAGACAGTTAAAAGTTACTTACGGGTATCTAGCATCCCCAACCTTTCCTGTGTACTGAACTTGTTGCCTTGTTCTTCTTAATTCAGCTATGGTTTGTAATGGATTAGTTCGGCCAAGAGTTGCAACCACA